TCAAAAAGAAGCAACAGATTGCCAACGCAATTGAAACGCAAGCGAACAACAATGGCAGTGGGGAGGTCAGCGGTCAGGATGCGGTCAGCGAATCCCTCACAGGACTGGGCACCAGCACCAGCACCGATGGCAGCGGCGAGGCCAGCGACTCCGAGTCTCAGGTGGAGGAGCACTCCATCTACGCCAAGGTGTGGAAGGGACCGCGCAAGACGACCGAATCGAAAATGTAATTGCCAGCAGGCGAGCGAGCGAGATTAGTCCACACCCATCCAACTTCCTATCCCTCCAAACAAAAACACGCCTTTGTTTCGCTTATCAGTTGACTAGGTTTTTCTCTTTTACTTGTTTGCTGATAATTTGCGTGGCGCTTAGTCACTCGGAGCTTTCTGTTTATATTTCGCGTTTTTTTACCCGGCTGCCAGGTTATTATTTCTGCCTGTTATTTGTTATTTATTTAAGCAAATTTTTGTAACTATATGTCTATGATTTGTACTGACGATTAACTTGCCCACAGATTGTCATAACTCTTGTGAGGTAACTGCAAAGAAAACATCCTTGTAATGAGTTATTTTGAATATTCTGGTTCCTCTGAGTTATGACAGCTCGTGTGGTCGTCTATGATTTCGTTTATCTCCCATTTTTAATGAATTTTGAACTTGAGTGCAAGATAATTGATTGTTTTGTTTTCGATTTGCAGTACGCATGATCCAGGGAGCAGCAGCAGCCGCCTGATAATAGCCACATCCGCAACAGCGGCGACAGCATCCTCTGGAGCGGCGATAGTTGCAGCAGCAGGAGCCGTGGCTGCCACGCGCCACGACAATAAAGCACAGCTGGGCAACAACAACGGCAGCCGCAGCAAGATGTGGACATGCATTAAATGTTCCTATGCCTACAATCGACTTTGGCTGCAGACCTGCGAGATGTGTGAGGCCAAGCTGGAGCAGCAGCAGCTCCAGCAGCAAATCCAGCAGCAACTCCAGCAGCAGCTGCAACAGCAGGCAGGTGTGTCCTCCTTGGGTCAGGAGAAAGGTAAAGTTAGCCGCCTTTCATGTAAATCCCAATCGTAACGCCCAATTGTGCTTTTCCAGAAACTCCCCGAGACGAGCCCTGGACCTGCAAAAAGTGCACCCTGGTAAACTACTCGACGGCCATGGCGTGTGTGGTCTGCGGCGGCTCCAAGCTGAAGAGCATCTCCTCAATCGAGGACATGACGTTGCGGAAGGGCGAGTTTTGGACCTGCGGCCACTGTACGCTGAAGAACTCGCTTCACTCGCCCGTGTGCAGTGCCTGCAAATCGCACCGCCAGCCGCAGCTCTCGATGGCCATGGAGGCGGTGCGTGAGCGACCGGATGGCCAGTCGTATGAGGATCAGGATGCAGCAGCCGTTGCGGGAGGAGGTGCAGGCGGAAGTGGCGGCGGCAGCGGAGCCAGTGGCCATCAATCGAGCGGCAGCGAGGTCATTAAAGCACCCACAGCTTTAAATCTTCCGCTGGCGTCGGTGGCGTTGCCCATGCCACTGCTGCAGATTCCAACCACATCGGCGGCTGGGTTGCGTGGCTCACGCAGTCCCTCACCCAGGATGCAGCCACTGCCATCGCTCCAGCAGCCGCAGCAGAGGAGTTCCAGCTCTTCAGGCGCAATACCTAAACGCCACAGCACCGGCGGCTCCATTGTGCCCAGGAACATTTCCATCGCCGGCCTTGCTGGCTACAACCTACAGCAGGGCCAGGGTGTGGGCTCCGCATCGGTGGTGTCGGCATCGGGAGTCGCTGCCGCAGCCGCAGCCGGAGCCGGAGCCAATTCCAGCTCAAAGAAGTGGCAGTGTCCGGCGTGCACGTACGACAACTGTGCTGCTTCCGTCGTCTGCGACATCTGCTCGAGTCCGCGAGGCCTGGCGAGTGCCGTGCTGGGCGAGGCTCTGGCCAGGAAATCGATTCGAGTGGCCCTCACCCAGGCGGACATTCGGCAGGAGAGCAAGCTGATGGAGAACCTGCGCCAGCTGGAAGAGACCGAGGCGCTAACCAAGTGGCAGAACATCATCCAGTACTGCCGTGACAACAGTGAGCTCTTCGTGGACGATTCGTTTCCGCCGGCGCCGAAGAGCTTGTACTACAATCCGGCGAGCGGAGCGGGCGACGGCAATCCAGTGGTGCAGTGGCGTCGACCGCACGAGATCAACTGCGACGGCGGGGCGTATCCGCCGTGGGCTGTGTTTCGCACCCCGCTACCCTCGGACATTTGCCAGGGCGTCTTAGGCAACTGCTGGCTGCTCAGCGCTCTGGCGGTGCTGGCAGAGCGCGAAGATCTGGTCAAGGAGGTGCTGGTCACGAAGGAGATATGCGGCCAGGGGGCATACCAAGTGCGCCTCTGCAAGGACGGGAAATGGACGACGGTGCTGGTGGATGATCTGCTGCCCTGCGACAAGCGTGGCCATCTGGTCTACTCGCAGGCCAAGCGCAAGCAGCTTTGGGTGCCGCTTATCGAGAAGGCGGTGGCCAAGATCCACGGCTGCTACGAGGCGCTGGTCTCCGGCCGGGCAATCGAGGGACTGGCCACGCTGACGGGAGCGCCCTGCGAGAGCATACCGCTTCAGGCGAGCAGCCTGCCCATGCCCAGCGAGGATGAGCTGGACAAGGACCTGATATGGGCCCAGCTGCTGAGCTCGCGCTGCGTTCGATTCCTCATGGGCGCCAGCTGTGGCGGTGGCAACATGAAGGTGGGTTCTGCATATTCATATACATATGTACTACAACTATTCTTACTGCTCACCCCTAATGCTAGGTGGACGAGGAGGAGTATCAGCAGAAGGGGCTGCGCCCACGGCACGCCTACTCGGTGCTGGACGTGAAGGACATCCAGGGACATCGGCTGCTCAAGCTGCGCAATCCGTGGGGTCACTACTCGTGGCGTGGCGATTGGTCGGATGACTCCTCCCTGTGGACGGACGACCTGCGGGACGCTCTAATGCCACATGGCGCCAGCGAGGGCGTCTTCTGGATCTCGTTTGAGGATGTGCTCAACTACTTCGACTGCATCGACATCTGCAAGGTGCGCTCCGGCTGGAACGAAGTGCGGTTGCAGGGCACCCTGCAGCCCCTGTGCTCCATCTCCTGTGTGCTGCTCACCGTTCTGGAGCCGACGGAGGCGGAGTTCACACTCTTCCAGGAGGGACAGCGCAACTCGGAAAAATCGCAGCGCTCGCAGCTGGACCTGTGCGTTGTGATATTCCGCACCCGCTCACCGGCGGCGCCGGAAATTGGTCGTTTGGTGGAGCACAGCAAGCGGCAGGTGGGTCTCTCCCCTACCCATTGCAAGGGTCTAAGCTAAAGCACTCTTGTACTCCAGGTGCGCGGATTCGTGGGCTGCCACAAGATGCTGGAGCGGGATATTTACCTGCTCGTCTGCCTGGCCTTCAATCACTGGCACACGGGCATCGAGGATCCGCACCAGTATCCGCAGTGCATCCTGGCGATACACAGCTCCAAGCGACTGCTGGTGGAGCAGATTAGTCCCTCGCCGCACCTCCTGGCCGACGCCATCATCAGCCTGACCCTAACCAAGGGCCAGCGGCACGAGGGGCGCGAGGGCATGACCGCCTACTATCTGACCAAGGCAAGTGCTCCACAAACTTCGTTGTTCCACGGAATTTTCGGTCTTACCCCAGATGGCTTTCCTTTGCAGGGTTGGGCGGGTCTGGTTGTGATGGTGGAGAACAGGCACGAGAACAAGTGGATCCATGTGAAGTGCGACTGCCAGGAGAGCTACAATGTGGTGTCCACGCGGGGCGAACTCAAGACGGTGGACTCGGTGCCGCCGCTGCAGAGGTAGGTCCTCCCTTGCCTGCCCATCGAATGTGCAACTAGCTAATTGTACATTTACTTGCAACACCCACAGACAAGTTATCATCGTGCTCACCCAGCTGGAGGGCAGTGGTGGCTTTAGCATCGCCCACCGGCTGACCCATCGGCTGGCCAACTCGCGCGGCCTTCACGACTGGGGGCCGCCCGGCGCCACCCACTGCCCGCCCATCGAGAACGTGCATGGACTGCACGCGCCACGGCTGATCACCTAGGGTGGGACTGGGATCGAATGGGAGGATGGCGGGAGATCTCGCGATCTCGTATCCTGCATCCTGTATCCAGTATCCTGATGTGCTTGCCTCTCCGCTCATTTCTATCCGTACTCTAGTCGATACTTTGCAAACGTATCACATCACAGCGAAGAAAACCAAAAGCTAAGACCAACCATCAATCGAATCGAACCATATGTATGTGTATAGATCCGTGCAGATATAATATATGTGTTTATGTACTAAGGCGCATTCGGAGCGGCGGAGCAGATTGGTTGGGATACGGCAGAGTCCGGAAGCCGGAATACGGAGTCCGGGGACCTCGGCACAATTCCCTCAAGATCAAATGATATATGTTTTGATTTGAGCGCCGATGATTATGGATTATATAGATATGTATTGTAAATTTAAGTGCATCCAATATTAATATGTGTATTGTTTTAAAAATAAAGACTACAAGTTATGAAAGCCGACAGTTCGAGTATTTATCAATGTTAATAAAATAATATTTGTAATTTTCAGTAATGTTATATTTTTAAAGCGATTTATTAACAGTACTGCCAACTCAAGGAAAAAAGGAAATGGCCCGCGAAGCTTAAGTTGGAAATTTACCTTACTCTTTGACCACAGCATATCCGGTAGACGGCACTCCCTGCAGTGGTGAATATGTTCAGATCTGCGCATATTCACACGTTCGCTCGCGAATGTTGGGTGGGTGTCTCAGCTATCGCTGCTAACACTTTGGTGTGACCGTACTGTCGATATATACCATCAAATACCAGATATGCCGATGTTAGGTGGGTGTCTCGGCTATCGCTGTCAGCACTTTCCACCGATCCTAAATCGTCGTTAAATTGCCGCCGCTAGCTTGACGCATATCACATGCCAGCGAACGGTGGGAACTATCGATAATCGATAACTTCGCGGTCGCACTACACTGTTGCATTTGCATTCGCCAAAAAAAAAGAGAGAAAAAAAAGCTGGGCGAAAATGCCAACCGAATTGGTGGGCCAAAATCAAGTGAATCCTATCTAAAGCAGAGTTTAAGCAACCGAGGCGTGCCCGAGCGAGGAGCAGCAGCTGACCACCAGCGGACGAGGTAGCGAGCGGTAAGAGAAGTGCATCGTTCAGCGTTCAGCATTCTGCATTCTGGCGGACATGAACGAAGAAATCGTGCGCGAGCAGCGCGGCGGCGAGGAATCCTCATCCTCCGTCTCGCCAAAAACTGCAGCGGCATCGATGACGTTGGCCTCGGCGGCCTCGGCCTTGGAATCGCAGGCGCACTCGCACTCGCACACGACCAGCCCAGCCGCCAGCAGCGCCAGCCCCAGCAGCAATCCCCCCACCATTGGAGCAGCTGCCTCTCCGTCGCCATCGCCATCTCCGCTGGCGTCCGGCGGGCAGAAGAAGCACCCGATGCAGCTGGAGCAGCAGCAGCCGCTGCCGCTGCCGCAATTGAACGCCACCGATATGCGCGAACTGCGCGAAATCAAGCAATTGCTGTGGGGCGACAATGTGCGCGAAGATGTATTCAAGCGTTGGTCTCAAGGTAACCACCCAATCAACAGCCCCATCCCCTTCACCATAACCACCACCCCCCATTAACATTGTGCACCACCCAGTGCAGGCGAAAAAGCGCGCCCTTTTTTGCTCCCAACCATGGAATGCCCAATTGGAGTGGGAACTGGCATCCGAAAACTTGACCCAGGTCATGTTCAAAAGGGTTTGCTCCCATTTTTTCCCAATTGAGGAAACCATTTTCAATGTTAATCCTGAATAATGTAGCTTATGGTCAAACAGACTAAATGGGGCGAATGTCATCCTAGAATATTTCCACCTATCCCAGTTGTCATGCTCATTAAGGTCTACTTCTATTTTCTTTTATCCAAGATAATTGTTAAACATATACTTCATCTTATTCCAATTGATTGTTCTGAACATTATCCTTGGAACTCAAAAATTATTCTTGCCAAAACAACAAAAAACTCCTTTCAATGTATAAAATTGATTTCTGACCCACTATTAGTTTCATTTACAACACACTATTTAAACTTATCGCAGGTCATGTTTATCAGTGTTCACTTTACATTTTCGAGTTAAAGAACTCTTCTTAAATAATAAGCTTGAGTAAAGTAATCCGGGTTAATATTTCAATTTACCCCAGGTCATGTGCAAGATTGATTCTTTTCTCTGAACTTGGAACGTTTTATGTTTTAGCAGCAGAAATTATATATCAAAACATTCCCTCCTTTTTTATGTTTCAATATTTAATTGTATTTTTTTTCTTGTAAAAAAGATTCTTTGATCTTATTGTATATCTTTATTATTTATTCTTTGTCACGCTTCAAATTACCTGCTAGTGTCCGAGAAAATGCCTTCAAATTGGAACAATTCCCATATAAACAGTTTATGGAGATCAAAATTATTATATTATTATATAACTTTCGCAAAGTTGGGAGCTTCTAAACATTCCAAGTACCATTCCTTGTTTAAAAATTGAAGGCAATAATTCGATTCCAATCAATGAATTAGTTGCAAATGCTAGTATATGAAATATAATATAAACGTTATCAGGATGCTGGTGAAATACTCATTCTCAGATTTTTATCTTGGACATAATGACCTTATCACTAACCCGCATCTTATCCCCATCCAGGATTCGAGTTTAGTAAAGTAGAGCCGTCGGCATTAGTCCAAAAACAGGGCGGCCCATGTGCTGTGATAGCGCCGGTGCAGGCGTACTTGCTTAAGATAATTATCATGGACATGCCGGGCGTCAAGCTGTCGGAGGTTGGTATACTGCTGCTACTACTCAATGGAGCCCCAGTTTAATCACTCTCTCTCTTTCTCTAACCACTCAGATTCCCTACGACAAATGCCAGAACCTGCTGATCCAGGCGCTGTGCAACATCCTGAAGAACTGTAGGGCGCCACGCTACCGCATCGTCCATCTCTTGCGCCGTCGTGGAAACGCCACGGAGGATGGTTCAACCAAAGAGCGCTCGCCAGCTGCCGAGGCAGGATCTGCTGCTGGTGCTGCGGCTGGCCCAGCCGGATCGTTCGAAGAGGCAGCCGGAGGCGTGGAGCTGGCGGCCGAGGCCACACCCGGCTCGGTCAACGAGTGGCTGCAGGAACAGCTGTCCAATCTGGATCCGCATCGAGAGCTGTCGCCGGATGAGTTCCACGAGCGCCTCCACACGCTCCACTTCGAGGATATCGCCGCTGTGGCCCGCTACTATATGGAGAACTATGGCCAGCTGGCGAATACCTACGGCGTACTGCTGTTTATGTACTCGGTGTTCCTCACCAAGGGCTCAGAGCTGGTGGCCGCCGACATATCGGACACGTCGGAGCCCCTGATACACAGCACCTATGGCTACGGCGGCCAGTCGCTGATCAATCTGATGCTAACGGGTCGCGCCGTCGCCCATGTCTGGGATAACGAGCAGGATGTCGGCGGCCTGAAGCTGCGCGGCATCTGCGAGCAGAGCGACATCGGGTTCATAACGCTAATGGAGCAGATGCGCTACTGCACAGTGGGCTCATTCTTCAAGAATCCACGCTACCCCGTTTGGGTGATGGGCTCCGATACGCATTTAACCGGTGAGTCATCCCGATAATCGACCTTTTGTTGATAGCACCTTAAGTGCATTCGCCTTGGGTTGCCTTCCCCAATAACTCTTATCTTATCCAACTCCCATTCCGCAGTTCTGTTCAGCAACGAAAAGAGGCTTGTCTCGCCAGAGACGCCCTCGGAGACGGGTCGTCGCATCTTCAAGTCCTACGACCCGGAGGGCAACAATTTCATATCGACCACAATGCTACGCGAAGTTCTTGCCGCCCTGAATTTGGTCAGCGAGCCGGCCTAGTAAGCTAAAACCCCTGTCGTTCCTTATAGCCTGTTTTTTAATCGATGCCCTTCGCAGCGTGGCGCTCATGCAGAAGCGCTTGGATCCGGAGAACTTGGGCATCATACTGCTGAACGCATTCATGGACGAGTTCTTCCCACTGGAGCGCCGCTCCACGCCGGATACCTTCGAGCTGATGCACTACAACGGCATACCGGGCTCCAATGAGAGCAACAGGGTGAGCTAACTAATCTGTTTGTGAGATATGTTATATTTGAAATTAAAATGTCTCCCCGGCAGGTGCGCTACTATTGCGGATCGGCCATTCTGCTGGAGGGCGATCTGAAGTCGATCTGCACCTCGAACCCTATGGTCACCTGCCTGCAGACCAAGTGGCCCAACATCGAGATCAACTGGCACGACACCCACATGCCCTCCTTAAATTGACGCCGTCAAGGGGGCCAGGGGAAGTCGCAGCCGCAGCAGCAGCAGAAGGAGAAGCAGAAGGAGGGCAGGAAACCAAAAGGACGTGGGGGACGCCCAGGAGTGGAGAAGCCACCGCTGTAGACACAAGAAGAAGAAGCGATTGCACGTTTTTATTTCAAACACCCTTCAGTTTTTTTTTTATTTATTTGATAACAATTTTGAAAACTGCTGACACAACAAGATATTTAAACACAGCAGCTAAACACTAACAAATGCGCTTCAAAGAGCTGCAGCCATGTTGATGAATCCGCAGGAGAATATAAGATTTACGCCAAGCGTTGACTCACACAAAACCCACAAAAAAGGTATATTCCATATGTGCATAGCTCTATGCAGCGTGGAAAATAGAAAACACAAAAAAAAAATGTAAAAAAAAAACGAAGGGAAACGAAAGAACGTACATCCAATAAGAACTCAAACTTAAATTCAAACATTGTACGTTTAAATTTGCATTGCAAAACCGAAACTCAACTAAAAATACAGGCAACACAAATATACCTTTATGAATAAACTAAACTAAAACTAAAATAAAAACTAACAGAACAGAACAAATTTAAATTGAGAATTAGGCAAAGCGAAAAAACGAGGCGACCCAGGCGGATGTATAAGCGAAATTAGTTTTTTGGCCTTTTACCAGATTACTTGTAGTGTTAAACCATTTAATGAAATTAAATAGACACAGATCACAGATGCATGATGCATGGTAGACAGGGCTAAGAAAAGGGCTACTTGAGGACTAACATCAAAGCGATAGAGACAGGGAAACAGGGAGAGAGAGAGAGAGCAAGCAAAGATTACTTCGACGTGAAACAAAAAACTAAGTATAAATTAACAAGAAAAACAATTCAATTTAAAATAAACAAGAAACCCAAAAATCTCACTAAAATGTTGTGCATTTGTTTTCCATTGCAGAGCAATTTCTCCGCCGAGTGTTTGCTATATTCCCACTTTTATTCCAAAGGTGTCAAACATAAACAATATCTAAATGTGTGTTTAAATAAGCGTCCGCAACTGGCTTCAATGTCCCCCTTGTATAACACGCCCCCATCTGGAAGCACTAATTGCATCCCCACTCCATTGTATGTATTATAAACCAAATCAGTTGAGATATTAGGGCTACGATAAGAACATTTGGAACCGTTTTGTTTGTTCATTCTTTTGGAAGAACCTTTCCCTCATATGTGATAAGCCAACACCAAACCTAAATTGATTCAGTTTAAGATCGTTGCACCTAAGTATTACCACTGAAAATTGGGTAGAGTTAATCTCACATTAACCAAATTAGACTTGAGATCCTGGGACTTCTTGAGTTCTCGTAAAACGTTTACAAATTATTCCAAGTTGCCTGAGTTGCTTATTACAAATAGCTTAAAACATTAACAATAGCCATTCTGAATGTATTTATTGAAATAAAACTGAACTTAACATTATTTTCGGCACTAGGTTTCTTATAAAACTGTTCCCAACAACGATATAATAAATCTACTATTGAAAATACCAACAGTTTCCTATCCTTTCTTCGCTCTCATGATCATGATCCCATATGATTTTCAGCACGCCATACCTAATTCCAAATAAATTCGACTCGTTTAATAGGACAGTAACTTTTATTAAGAACATGTATATATGTATATGTATTTATGCATTGATATTCACAATTTTCATAGAAGAGGAATCCACATCAAGATGTATCTTACAATTACTAAGCTTACTTCAAACAATCATCTTCTAGTAATGCCCCCGTCCGCGCTCCTTGCCCTCCTGGCCACCCATGAAGATCTGTATGTCCAGTCGATAGTGACGCGGCTTGCGATGCCGCCTCGCCATCTCGCCGGGCATCGGATCTCATTTGACATCTAGGAGCCGGCGCTGGAACATCTGCATGGCCAGGTTCCGCAGTCCTTCGCCCACGATCGGCACACTGCGCGGGAACTCGCACTCCCGGGCCGGCAGACCGCACAGCTGGCGGCGCAGTCGCAAGTCCTGGCGAGCACTCAGGGCCCGACTGCCCGGACCGCATACGTTGCCCACCAATCGTTGGCGCTCTGCAGCGGCACTGCGCAGACCCATCTGCACGCATGCCAGTGGCTCCAGTTGCTGCTGACTGGCCAGAAATTCACGGTAGTCGAGCAACGGCGAGGACATCTTGGCCGGCGGCTCGCCGTCTCCATCCAGTTCGCGTTCCCGTTCGCGCTGCTGGCACTGCTCCTTCTCCTGGATCAACTGCTGTCGGGCCTCCTCCATCACGCGGCGGGCGTAGCTCTCGCCCGCCATCCCGAACGAGATGCCCATGTCGAGGAGCACGCGATGCGGCTGCCATCGCTGCTTGGCGGAGGTGCCGCGGTCCACGCCCTGTTGCGCCGCCTGGGCCTCGGTGGCCTGCTGTCGGGTCTCGGCTATCAATCCCTGCCAGTCCACGCCCAGGGCGTCGCCAATGCCTGTGAAATAATGGATGGGAAATCGGATTTCAGTACGGATTTAGTGGCTGAATCATGTTAGGTGACCACAAATCTACGTCTACATACTTAGAGCCTAGTGCTTGAAGTGATATCATCAGCAGAAAATGCCTTTCTAATACTTATAAACGCATTACGGCATAGTAGCTGTATGTCACGTTCGTGGCTACCAGACTGCTCACCTTTGTGCCGAGCGTCCTCCTCCAGCTCGCCATCGGATATCTCCTCAAAGTCCAGCACCTCGTCGACCTCCTCGCCCTTGATCGGGTGCCCGGCCACGCCATGCAGGCACTCGTTCTTCGTCACCTCCACTCCGTTGGTGTCCATTTCCTGTTCCCTTTCTGCTGGCAGCTCGCTCTTGGGCCGCACCTTGTCCGTCTTGTTGAGGATGTCGTCGTCGCTGTCGCTGATCTCGCTCAGCTCACCCTCACCGGCGACGGTGGTGCGCATTGGCTCCAGCTTCACGGGATTGCCCTCGGAGGTCAGCGACTGGTTCAGATTTTGCGTAGGCGAGTCCTGGGCGCCCAGCTCCGGTGTGCCTGCCGAGTCCTCGGAGGCGTCCTCCTGCTTGATGCACACGGTGTTCAGTTTGCTCACCTGAAAGAAGGATTGAGGCACTTTAAACGACATCGCTCTACGATATGTAGTTGTTAACTGGCTGGAGACACTCTTTGAATGAGCGAACGATGTCTACAGTTGAGGGGAGCCTATGCATATACTTATAAACAAAAACGAAACCATGGCCAATATGATACGATGGGATGCATTTGATATCATTATGGGCTTGGACCTGGGCAAGGTCCAAAGTATATGAAAAACTAAACCAACCTGAGCTAGTATTCCGGGGTTGGTTGTGGCATTGGCGGCACTCTGGGCCGCCGCCTTGGCCGCTGCCACTGCAGTAGTTGCGGCAGCCACAGCGCTCGCTTGAGCGGCAGCATTCGGTTTGCCGGCGGCGTTCAAGAGGGGATTCAACAGTGGTGTCTGCGTCGGCGAGACGAGCGGTGCGTGTGTGTGCTTCTTGAGGAAACCAGAGGAGCCGGCCAGTCCTCCGTCCCGGCCGCCCAGACCACCTCCATCTCGGCCACCGCCATAGGGTAAGCGTTTGTGAGGAAACCCCCGGGAATAGCCGCCGGGTGGCTGTACCGGCAACGTCATCAGCGGAGGCGGATGGGACCTGTAGCCGGGCCGATCGCCGTGATCGCCATGACCACCGTGGCCACCGCGCCGGAAGCCTCTGCCCGATCCACGCTCGCCCCTTGGATGGACATGGTGGTGCGGAGAAGCCGGATGCGGATGGGAGGGTGGTGGCGGAGCATCATCGTTATCTCGCCAATCACCGCCAGAATTGGACGACTGCTGCTGCTGCCAGGCGCGGGGCTTCTCCCGCTGATCGTGCTCCAGCCAAGCGGGCTCGTTTTTAATCGACGGTCTGTCGCCACCAACGCCACCGCCGCCTCCGGTGTCCGGCCGATCCTCGCGATCTCTCTCGCGTTCCCGTTCCCGATCGCGCTCTCGTTCTCGCTCCCGTTCCCGCTCCCTCTCACGCTCATCGGCATCCCAGTCGGGCTCTGAAGCTGAGTGGTGTTGCTGCTGCGAGGAAGGTCCTCCGCCCGTGTGCGTTGGGGGCTTGCCACGCTTCGGTCCGCCCACAAAGCCGACGGGCCGACCCGGGGTGCCACTGGGGCCTCCGGGACCGCCACCGCCGCCGCCCTCCTCCTCCCAGTCGCGCTCCCATTCCGGCCGGAAATCGCCACGTGGCCCAATATTGCGTTCCCTCTCCCGATCACGTTGCTCTCGCTCCCGATCCCGCTCCCTGTCGCGGATCAGACGCTCCCGCTCGTCCGGATACAGGCTATCCTCTGTCTCGAGTTCGCGGTACTCGCGTCCCTGCAGCTCCCGCTCCCGCAGCTCACGGGCCTCAAGCCAGGCTTCCCGTTCCCGCGAGGAGTAGCGGGCATCCAGATAGGCGCGCTTGTAGGCCCTAAAACAGGGGATTTCAGAGTATTGGATTAGAGATTTGTAGGGCCATAAAAAGCAATCGAAAGGGTTGGTTCCCAGCTACCTGTTAGTTCGGGGGTTAGGTAAAAAGCAGGTTAATGTTTTCAAAATTACCACTTCCAGGAATGGGATTATTATTTATTCATTTACCTTTCCCGTTCTTCCTCCGAATACATTTCTCGGGGATCCCGCATCCTGGGCGCATAGTGCTCGGGCAGGGGACTGAGATCCCTGCGCCGATACCTTCGCATCTCGTCTATCAGCCCGTGGCCATGTCGCTCCTCCAGGTACTCCTGCTCCCGCTCATAGGGATCCAGCTCCCGCTTATCGCGCACATGACGACCGCCACGTTCGCGCTCCCGTTCCCTTTCCACGGTGTCAAGGGATCGCTCCCGGCTGCCGTATGGCGGGAGATCTAGGTCTCGTCCCGGACCGCCCCGCTTGCCGCCCTCCTCCTCCTCCTGGCGGCGCAGTTTCTCGCGAGCCAAACGTTCCCGCTCCCGCTGACGCTCCTGGCAGCGGGCCAAGGCTTCGGCTCGCTCCTTGTCCCTGGCCGCTTCTCGTTCCGCCCGCTCACGTTCTCGATCTCTTCGATCCCGCTCTCGCAGGGAGAGATCGTGGCGTTCGCGTTCCCTTTCCCGTTCTCGCTCACGCTCCCTTTCACGTTCCCGCTCCAGGGACGGAGTGCGTCCGCGTGCTCTGGTCTGGATGATGATCTTCTCCCGCGACATCAGCTGGTGGTGCATTCGTGAGGACGAGCTGCTGCCTCCGCCTCCAAGTCCAGAGCCCAGGCCTAAGGATGCAGGTATGAATATTATTCAATTGACACCTTTTATATGGATGGTCACTAGGACTACATGAGTTTCTGAATTTGATATTTTCTGGTCAATAAATAAATTCGATTTTGAACACTTTGACATCTCAAGCATGGAAGCTGGATCAAAATTTAGATCATTAAGATCAGAACAGATAATTAATTAATTCAGGTTTAATCAGTTTTTGGAACCCAGAAAGACCATGACCGTCATAATCGACTCCTTGAACACAAAAATGGGATATTCCCTGAGGACTTCACGATGATCTAGAGGATTAACCAGCGTTTATACCTGGACTCTTCTGCCGCTTGCCCACGATGTCCTGGTGGATGCGTATCTTGGTGGTGGTGGTGGTGCTGCTGCTCGGCGGACTCCTGCTGCTGCCCAACCGGTGATGGTCGCGCTCCCTGTCCCGCTGGACGGCGCGCAGCTTATCCCGCTCCCGCTGCTCCTTGCTGGCGGCCCTCAGACGCTTCCGTTCGGCCAGCTTTTTGAGCTTGGCCCGCGTTGTGGGTGACAGGGAGCGATGGACATGGCCGCTTAATGCGGCGGCAGCCCTCTTCTTGAGGCGCGCCTCCTTCAACTTTCGCTTGATGTGATTCCGCTTGGCCACCAGCTTCTTTTGCACATGATCCCGTTTGTCCCGCTTGCGGCGCGATGATGGCTCATCACCCGACGAGCTCCCACCGCGCCGGGAACTCTTCTTCTTGCGATGATGGCGCTCCGCGGAGCGCGGATGATGGCCATGGACGCCATGGGCATGGGGATGGCCGTGGACGCTGCCGCCGCCGCCGCCGCTGCCGGGACCACCGAGGCCGCCGCCGGGACCGCCCACCCCGCCCACGCCCACGCCCTGCTCGCTGTCCGTGCTGCTGTACGAGCTGCTCCCGCTGTCCGAGTCCGAGGTGGAGTCCGAGCTGCTCGAGTGCGTCGCACTGTGGCGGGCGGCCTTCTTGTAGCGGCGCAGCGACGCCTTCTTCTCCATCGCCGCGATCTCCGCTAGCCTGCGCGCCTCCGTTTTGGCTGATTCTTTGATTGCGTTTTCCGGGAGATTTGTGCGGATATTTTTCCTTTTCTCGCGCCTGCTTTGTTGTCCGTTTCGCGTTTTCTTCCTCCTCCTTTTTCGCCTCCGCTTTTTCCCTTTCGAAAGTTATCGATAGCTTATCGACATGGCTCGCAGACCATCGATAGCAGCGGCGGGAGCTATCGATAATGAGCGGTCTTTTTAAAACGTTCATCCCTATTTATTTTAAAATTGGTTTGTAATAATCAATAATTTTTTGTATTGGTTTATTATTTTAGACAATTAAAAAAACGAAATTTTAATAAATTTGTTTGTCTTATAGTGCGTCGTGTATAGCAACCTTGTCGGCCACTCAGTTTGACTTGGGTTTTCGCTTCCTAAAATGCTTGCAATCCAGCTATCCATGCTCCTTAAATCGAGTCGTATTGGGGCCTATTCACAGCTAATCCTCACTTTTAATACGAAGTTCGACATAACAACACCTAACAGCGCATTCTCTAGCAAACTAAACAAAATAAAAGTATTATATTTTAATCTAAAGCAAGTTTAGCTACGGCTTTTGGTGAAATACCAAATCGAGGTCTCATTCTGGTAAAGCCGATGATTTTAATGCGCCGGCAGCCTTGGCTGCTGAGTAGACCAGGCGCCTGGCTGCTGAAGGGTCTCGCGGCTGGCGAGGATGTGTCCGAACCCGTTTCCCGTCTTGCGGCGGCTATGTCCACAGCAGCGATATCCGGACCAGCGATGGCTACCGCCCCCACAGTATCCGCAATATCCGCCGTATCCGTGGTATCCCAGTCCTTCCAATCCAGGGCCCAAGGAGCAGGAGGAGGATGGCAAGGAGCAGGTGGGTTCCAAGTTAAACTATATTTGCACGGGTATATTTGGTTAGCAAATCAGTTGTCAGAAACGTAGCTGGTTTCCAATTTACTTTAACAGCACCATTTCTTGGCTAGTTATTCATGAGTTTATTGCCTTTTTTCCTAACCGTACTCACCAGGAGGAAGAGCCCTCGGAGGATCGGCCGCCGGAGGAACAGCCCCAAGAAGGCGGTACGGAGGAGGACCAGCCCCAGCCCCAGCAGCAGGAGCAGGAGGAGGAGGAGCCGCCGCCGGATCCGCCCAGTCCGGAGGAGCGTCCGCCGGAAAGCCACCTGCAGGCAATGCCCCGCCCCCTCCACCTCCCCCTCCACCGTCTTCAGCTCCATCACCTCCTCCAAAAGCCAAGTCCGCCAATCCGAGGATGAAGAGCTTCGAGATCTACCGCTGGAAGCCTGGAGAGCAGCCGCAGACGCAGACCTACAGCGTGGACCTGGAGAAGTGCGGCGCCATGGTGCTGGATGCCCTGATCAAGATCAAGAACGAGATGGACCCCACGCTGACCTTCAGGCGCTCCTGCCGCGAGGGCATCTGCGGCTCCTGTGCGATGAACATCAATGGGACAAACACCCTGGCCTGCGTGTCGCACATCGACCAGGACGAGAGCAAGTGCTGCCGGATCTATCCGCTGCCCCATCTGTATGTGGTGCGTGACTTGGTCCCGGATCTCAGCCAGTTCTACGACCAGTACCGCTCCATCCAGCCGTGGCTGCAGCGCAAGGATCTCAAGCGGGAGGCCGGGTCGGCGCAGTACCTGCAGTCCGTCGAGGATCGCCTAGTGCTGGACGGGCTCTACGAGTGCATCCTGTGCGCCTGCTGCCAGACCGCCTGTCCATCGTACTGGTGGAATAGCAACAAGTATCTGGGACCCGCCGTCCTCATGCAGGCCTTCCGCTGGGTCATAGATTCCAGGTGAGCGTGGTTTTCCTACTTTGTTTTGTATATACACATAAATCGCACCACATTTCGGTTCTGATTCCGAAACGTACCGGGTCAGCAACAAAAAGATTCCAAACATTTGTATTTCGACTCGACTAGTAATGATGGTCAAAAATATATTTTTCTATATTTTCTATATATTTCGGCTATACCAAAAATGTTTACCAAAATCGAAACGGTTAATCGTTCTGGTTGTGTTCCCTGATAGAAATCTCTACTTTTTTCAGGGACGAGGCCACCGAGCAGCGTCTGGACTTCCTCAAAGATCCCTGGAAACTCTATCGATGCCACTCAATCATGAACTGCACGAACACGTGCCCCAAACACCTCAATCCGGCGAGAGCCATCATCCAGCTAAAGCAGCTCCTCGTGGGGCTGAAGAAAAAGGAGAAGCCCCAACTCCAGACCGATGCCCTCTTCAAGGGAAAGTAAAGGGAAGTGGTTACACTCGGGATTCGACATAACGTCAACGGGAGTTGTATATGCAACACTGCCCCAAGCCATACTGATCTGATCACTCACCTACAAAAAGTGTGGGCAAACACACTACAAAGCTAGTGGGAGATAAGAACACTGCGGGCAATATAAATAGAAAACATTCAAACAAATTTCAGAACACAGAACTAAATTTTAACACAGGACCTTGTGGACTTTACGATGTTGCTATGTTTAGGGAATAAACGCGAAATAATAATAAATAATTAAAAAAAATGTGTTTTTGGTAATTATCATTAAGAGTGAATATTATTTTTATAATTATAATGATCCCAACATCATATATGAAAGTATACAATGCTATGTAATAAAATGAGAAGATGAAACTGGTTTTTGGTATTGCAAAGAAAGAAATTAAATAAGTAAATATTTTCCCCGAAGAGTGTAAAAAATCAAGACATCTACTAATTGATCAATTGAAAAACAATCTTTGAAATGCCAGGATGGGTAACCAAAATAGAGATCGTCAGGCAGATGGATTGCAGTTGGACAGACGGATCGAACTGATCCCGATTTCGATCCCCAGCACGCCCAACACTCCAATGAATCCCCGGAATTTCCATTTCCCTCGTCATCGCCAGCTATTTCTGCACTTCTCGTTGCAATTAAGTGGGAAAATGCTGTAGCTATGTGGATGTTAATGTTCGTGTCTGCACCAGACCAATCCAAACAAAGAATGGAATCGGATGAAACGAGCCACTTCCTACACGAGAAAAAATAGTTCGTGTTAATGTCATAATGAGATTATTATAGAAACAATAACAATTCGATTTAATAATTAAAATGTGTGTATAAAAAACATAAATTCAAAATTAAAATTAAATTAAAATACTATTAAGGGCGTACAAATTAATTTCTGTGGAGGCAAAGGAGATTGGTTTTCCAATTGGCCCCAGAAGGGAGTTGCGGAGGGCAGTGAATGAAGCCAACTGTGAAAACGGTCCAAACGTCTCGCTGGGCGTCTAAAAATAAGCCACTGCAAATCTTCCGCCTGGTAGAGGAATTGGAAATGGAAATGGAGTGACGCGAGTTCGGAATGGAATACTTCGATGTTGTTTTCTTTAAAAATAACAAGGCCCTCCGAACTTGTCAGCAGCCGTCGCGAAAACGGGAAAATGAAAGCAGGAAAAGCGGAAAATCTTGTCACGCTCTCATTTACACAACTTGCACTTTTCATGATGTAGTTTTTGGATTTTCTTAAAATACCCTTTGAACATGTATGCATACTCTAGTGTCTTGAACCTTATAAAAATAAAAGATGGTATAAAACCTCTTACAAAAGGGCCAATAAGTATGCTGTGTTGAGAAAGGATAAAACTTACGGGTTTCAAATATTTTTATTGCATACTTTTTGTCGACTGTTAAAAGGGTTTCAAGTCACTGGAGATTTCAGTTGATTTTTACCCTTATTTACATTTAAGCATATTTTTATTAAATATTAACCTTGACAGAGTATCAAAGAGTACGGCTTGCACACTTGACATATAGCTCGAGTTCATTTCTTCGGGCTGCGACAACACTCAATCGAGTTGACAGGCACAAATCAGATGAAAAGCGTTCGGCCAGAGCCCTAGCAGATTACCCAAAGCCAGTTGATCCGCAGCTTCCCATTCTGCCGCCGCTGGAGAATCGTCCGGGCCATTCTCCAGAAGCTTAGGCCCATCAGGAGCTGCAAGGCGAGGAGACAATTAAAAGGCAATTCCAGCAATGCGTCTGCTTGCACCTGCCGGCCAGATATCAGCGACAAACGACAAACGACATTGTCAACAATGAGCCAGTCGAGCACGATTAGTTCACTGGACCACAGAGGAAAAGTATTTTTCGAAGATATTCAACATTTTTTGGAATATCAAGGTTTTACATCGAGGAAATTGTGTCTAAAAGTATGTAAGAAAAAAGTAATACACCAGACATTTTGGAGATATTCGAACAAGCGTTTTATACAAAAATGTTTGGTTGTTTTGAAAGTATCACAAAAATGTCTTAAAGTTTAAAACCACCTTTAAGGCTGTTTGTGAAAAACCCAAAATATATTTTGGCATACTTTAAGGCATCTTTTCTGGAGTTTTATTGTTAAAAATACTAATAAACATCAAATGTTTTTAAAAACCGTTCCTTAAAATCCATAACTTGTAGTCCAGTGCTTTGCTTTAAAAATAAACACATCACACACATGCAGACGGTCTCACTCCGAACAGCTTGGAGCAAATTATGTTGGGCTGGAGTCTCCGCTCCTTTGTCGCATTTCCAAGGTGTTGAGGCCGTTGACAATGTGGAGCATCCCCATCCCCCCATCGTCTTACAATTTAAGCTGCTAAGCCGCCGCTGACGTCTGACAGGTGGCAAGTGGAATCGACGCATCGGAGGGCGAAGAAACAGGCGTTTTCCAAACACATTTCGTCATAGACGCGTGCTGGAACTAGCCGACAAGAGACAATCGATCCCGGGATGACAACTTTCCCTAAACAAATATAATGAAGCCAAATATTACTAGAAAAAGGTAAAAGTCAGACGTCTTTTTTAAAGATTAAAAATGTGTTTACCCCGATCCAAAAAAAAAATTACCCTCCGACACCTTTCAAGTGTATGTCTTTTTACTTACTTTTTTCTTCAGTTTCCTTGCCTTACTCAATGGTGTAGTGACCTCAACTATTTAAATTTCTCTCTTTTAGTTTTGGCTACATTTTTAGGCTCCAAAATCTTAAATAAATATTTTTTGAAAATCAGGGTCTTGGAAATTCCATCGAAATTCGTCTAGAAAAAGCTAAGTTAGCAACACTACTGGGGGGGAATTGTTTCCTGCTTCTTGCCAGTTAATTTGATTGCAACGCTGTTGTTGCCATAGTTACAGATGATATAAAATCCCCAAGATTTATGGCTTTTAAATTTCCATTCATGCCGGGATCTGGCTGATTGCTGGCATCCAGAGCCAAAAGCGGATGCACAAATCAATTGTCATTTGGCAGGGAGAGTTGTCGAGGAGAGTAAGTTACTCGTAAAATGAAGTTTTCAATAAAAAGTGCCCACCACTGATTGTCTACTTTAAGTCTTGATAGCTTTCTTAGTGGTTCGTTTTCATTTTCCTCGCTGGCAATCACTTTCATTTACTCAGTAGTACCATGCACAGATTTGAAAATATTTCCACTTCTGCATCTACCACAATGGCCAAGTTCAATGAATATCAAGGCGAAAAGTATTTATCGTGATCAGTCATCGCTCGACAATTGAAAGAGTCAAACGCAAAAGCTATTTAATCTCTCGTCTTAAATTATATTCGCAGTTCTATTTTTGATTCTCACAGTCATATTGCTCAAAATGGGAGAATCGTTTCCGGATAATAATGAAAAGCTTTCATTGAGTTTTGCTCGGAGTATTTTGTTATAACGAATCACAGATGTCCAATGGGTTTTAGGATTTTGAAATATTTATAAAATAACACTAACAGCCTAGGCCAAAGATCACCATTACAATTTTTTGAACATTGGTCACAAATTAAAGTTTTCAGGTTTAATCGCCAATCGATTGGGAATTTAATTATGAGCTTAACAAGGTATGGCATTCCTTATTCCGACCTTAATTTGCAAAATGATTGCCAAAATACCTAGTTTCTTGAGGTCGAAAAAAGGTAGTAGGATTTCAGACTAAAATACCATTATTTAATGCAGTTTTTCAGTCGTAACTTGGTCAAATCGAGGCGCACAGCTGAAAGACTAACTGTTTTGAGCAGCTAACAACTTAGGCTTCCGATCCCCATCACATTCCGGGAAATTTATTTTTTGACTAAATTTCACATTTTTCATATTTTTGCGAAAATCGGTCAAAAATTAATGTTTCCAGGTTTTAATGCCAATCGATTGGAAATTAAATTACGAGCTCAACGAGGTATGGCATTCCTTATTCCGACCTCAATTCGCAAAATGATTGGCAAAATACCTATTTTTTGGTTGAAAAATAGGTAGTAGGATTTCAGACAAAAACACCCTTATTTTTGTCAGTTTTTCAATCGTAACTTGGTTAAAACGAAGCGCACAGAAAAAAGACCGACTGTCTTGAGCAGCTAACAACCTAGGCTAACGATTCCCAACACTTTTGAGATAATTTATTTTTTGAGCAATTTTCGGATTTTTCATAAGGGGTTACATCATCTATTTTTGCGAAAATTGGCCAAAAATTAAAGTTTCCAGGCTTCAATGCCAATCGATTGGAAATTAAATTACGAGCTCAACGAGGTATGGCATTCCTTATTCCGACCTCAATTCGCAAGATGATTGCCAAAATACCAATTTTTTTGGTTGAAAAATAGGTAGTAGTGGTTTTTTAGACAAAAACACCCATATTTTTGTCGGTTTTTTTTTCGTAAATTGGTCAAAATGAAGCGCACAGCCGAAAAGCCGACTGTCTCGAGCAGCTAACAACCTAGGCTAACAATTTCTATTACTTTTGGAAAAATTTATTTTTTGACCAATTTTTGCATTTTTCATTTTGCGAAAATGGGTCAAAAATTAAAGTTTCCAGGTTTCAATGTCAATCGATTGGAAATTAAATTACGAGCTCAACGAGGTATGACATTCCTTATTCCGACTTTAATTCGCAAAATGATTGCCAAAATACCTATTATTTGGTTGAAAAATAGGTAGTAGGATTTCAGACAAAAACACCCTTATTTTTGGCGGGTTTTCAATCATAACTTGGTTAAAACGAAGCGCACAGCAGAAAGACCGACTGTCTTGAGCAGCTTACAACCTGGGCTAACGATTTCTATCACTTTTGAAAAAATTTATTTTTAAAGCAATTTTCGCATTTTTCATAAGGGGTTACATCATCTATTTTTGCGAAAATTGGCCAAAAATTTAAATTTCCAGGTTTAAATGCCAACCGATTGGAAATTAAATTACGAGCCCAACGAGGTATGGCTCTCCTTATTCTGACCTTATTTCAGAAAATGACTGCCAAGAAACCTTTTTTTTAGGTCGAAAAATAGGTAAAGGTATTTCTGACAAAAAAGCACCCCTTATTCTAACTATTCACACTTTAAAGTGTTAGAGTTTTATTCAAACAGATAGGTGCCAACAACTCATCGATAAGTTGAAGATTTACCCTAAACACGACGCTCAAATCCCACTGAATACGATACCCAGCTCTCAGGTGGGCGAGGGCACCTGAACTTGGCCGATAACTTTTGGCTTAAAGCTTTGGCCCCTGTCAGGGCTGTTCTCTCTGCCTCTCTTGCCAATTTTGTGCGACTGAAACATGAATTACTCGTAAATAGCTAATGTAACTACGAAAATATTTACATATGCGTAAGTGGGTGTCGGTAACCCACACACGTATTACACTCTAAAAAAGAAATCTAAATCATTAAAACTATTTAGGATTTTTTGTTGTGCGGAGACTCCTTCTTTTTTTTGGAACATAAAATAATCAGTTTCCATCTGATTGTATTTATCCAGGTAGTAATTGGCTGAACTTAAGTTTTGGTGTCCCAAAATGAACCGACTTTAAATATATCGTTTTATTTTTGGATAAGTTGTTATTGAGCTAGTTATATTTGGAATGAGAGGTGAGATATCTTAAGAATAATAATAAACAATCGTAATTTTATATCCTGATTTCGAAACATAGAAATCGTTCGATAACGTTTGATGTGGATTGTAAGGTAATTTCTTCGAGTGTAAGGAGCGTAGTGCCACGTGCAGAGCGTTTCAAAAGCTTCAGCCCGAAAGAGCGAGCTTTGTTGGGGCGCCTACGTCACAGGGCCGCTTTTGGGGGGCGGACGAGCTTTCGGCGCCTAGAAAACAACCCCAAAGCGGCACCGCGAATCAGTCGCAAAAAAGTGCCCGTCGCCAGAACGCTGAAAAACAGCAAACAATTAAGACAAATAAACAGATCCGAAATAGAAATAGTAATTGAGTGACAAGAAGCAGCCAAAAGTGAGAGCTGCCGCAGAATCGAATATTTTGAAAGGGAGAAAAGAGGTAGCTAACCATTGTTTATTTTATTTTTTTTGGCTGTGAGTGAGTGACTTACGTGTCCGAGTGTGTGGGTGACTGAAATCTTCTCCCACTTCTTGGTGGCTTTGCATTTTTGATCCTAATAATTGTTATTACCATTTACCTGAATCGATCAAGGAAACCGCCGAGAGGATAACGAAAGCGCAGCCCCCGCAAACGTGCGACCCCCTCCATCAGTCCATCAATCCATCAGTCCATTCAGCCAGCACTATTCCCATATCCAGATAGTCCGAATATCGAGAAAGGCGACGAAGGCGCAGGAGAAAGGAGCAGGATCCAAACACAACCGAAACACAACAAACCCAAAACACACACTCCACAAAGATGTCATGGAGATATGCGGTAAGCGGAAGGACAATGGGGCAAAGCGGGGAAAGTAGGGTTAAAAAAACAAAGAGAGTGGGCGGATAAGGGTGGCGATAAAGTGTACAGAATACTGGAAAAAAATCTGCATTAATAATAGAGATCTTATTTCAAAAATCGAATTTCGGAAATAGTTTGTAGCTAAACAATGATATATCAAACAAATTTGTTTTTTTTTTTAATAGAAATTGTTTTATCTCAAATTTCAATTTGAATATTTTTGCAAACATTTTTTAGCTCTAAAGCATAAAAATATAGGCCACTTTCCCTTCTGGAATACGTACTATTTAAGTTGTTAACGATGAAGTTTTTTACTAGATATTCGCGCAGTGTAATGACGGGATGGGGGCGTGGCGCAGGCTGGTTTGTCAAGTGCCGCGTGGCAGACTTTTCGACGCTAGCGTCGGACATCTGTCAAAAACAGCTGATGACGATGGTGACGGCGAGCGCTGATGACCTTGACTCGCCTCAATCTGCGGCCATGTCGTCCTCCCGCTCGGCTGACCCAATTTGGCCACCCTCTTCCATACACCCTCAACCTCAAGCCACTTCACCTATAACCCACAAGGAACAACGACACAAAAATCAGGCTAAGGAAAATATAATTTGTTCTATTTTCTGTGGGACTGAGGCCTTGGCACATGTGTGCACCACCGCCCACCACCCACCGCCCTTTTTGAAGGCCTCTAAATGCAAATGCAAAGTTCAAGTGCCTTTCCAAGGCGTGGCAAGCCCACCACACCGCCCCATGCCACCCAAAGAGCACCACCGAACTGTTCCCAACATGTGGGTCGTTAAATAACCATCTTTGTCTGTGGCTTTTATCGGGCGATTATCCGGCATTAACTCGGTTTTGGCGCCTCATTTTTTGGGTCACCACTGCACATGGTCCTGGGTCGGGGTCACTTTTAGAGTTGGGCATGTCCTTGCAGGGGTAAAGATTTTTCTAAAAGCTACTGCAGCCTGTTTAAATCTAAAATACTTCAAGTTTTCTGGAATTCTTGGCATCCTAGCGATGTTATCTAGTAAAATTAGAGTAATTAGCTTTTCTAGTAAAACATTAAAAAAACAATATGGCATAACCTTTTAAGAAATGGGTTATTTTTAAAAACGTATATTAAATATATCTTGTGGACTTGCTGGCCATTTCTCGAGTTTAATATTATTTCAATAGGTATATAAAGAATAGAATTTACTACGAGTTCCGTTGGACTATTTTGTATGTTGTTTTCTGATATCTTTATTTAAAAATGTGATTTATTTAACTACTACATTTTCCTATGGTCTCATGATGGCCAATTAAAAAACAAATGTTTTCAAAAATCAATCATTGCACATGACAGGCAGCCTTACATGCGTGTCGCAAAAATATGTCGATGAATGGAAAGCCCACCGACTAATTGAAAACTCCCACCCTCGGCAGTTAAACCATCGGGAATTAGCATTAGCCTAACCAAATTAGTGACGCTGCACTGGATTTGATTGACCCAAAAATGCGGATCGGTGGTAATAGGCTTTCGGCTCTTGTGGGCTGGCTAGAGAAAAGTACTCATACGCCGCTTGGACCAGTTGACTTGATTATAAAATGAAAAAACGGAAGAATTAAGTGGCCCAAACCAGGAACTTGAGACCCCGAAATCGAATGCAAAAACCTAATGAATTCAGGAGGCAGTGAAGCGAAATAAGTTGGTGGCTCAAATTAATTGCTCGGCTTCCGTGTAATGGCCATTGTGAAGTGCTGTAAGGCCCATGGCAGATAAACATATATAGGTGCTTACTGTACTGCCAGTATATAAGCCCCCGAGCTTAGCAAAATGTCAATGTCATCGCCGTTTTCCGCTGCCAGTGCTGCTGGCTCAGTGTCAAGCCCATCGGGAGCGCTAATTGAACAATCGATAGAGCACTGTATCTGTGTAGACCCACATATTATACGTGTATCGTAGGTAAATACTATATATAGCCGCTTTGTGCCGATATTGTGGGCGTGTCGCATCGCAGCTGTTGCGCCTGATTGAGCAGAAGGCGAAAGGCAAACGCTTGAGCTGCACTGCGAAAAAAAATCCAGATCTCCTGATATGGGGTGTATTTCAATTCTACAATAGGAGCCTATAAAGTTTTAGAAATTACAAAAATGTAATCTATTCGTAATATATTTTGAAATATCAAAACTTAATGTCTGGAAATATGCATTACAAAATTTAAAATCCGAGAAAAAATGGCTGATATTGATCGTATAGCTCTAACATACCATATAAAATAACAACAATTAATGTACCTACATTCATGAAGGTACAAAGATTTAAATACACCTAATAAGGCGTATAAACGTATGGTGAAGTCTATTCTTATTTCTGTAAGATGTCCAGAAATCATTTTTCATATACCTACATGTTGTCTTTAAAATGATTCAGAAGTGTATAAGATCCTAGTTTCATAAGCACGTATATATACACGTAAACATTAATATCCAGCTAAAAGCATTTGATACTTTAATTTAGGCAGCGTTTTATTAGTTTTTAAATTCCTGGAAAATATTTGGGTATTCAAAGAACTCAGAAATATTTTTAAGCAAAAGGGGCTACCAAATTTTTCTCAGAGTGATAGCTGCGGCAGAAGCTAAACTCAAAAGCGGCAACTTGAAAGCGTTTCCCCATTTGGGCCGAGCTAGAAACCCATCCAAAATGGGGGAAGCGTTATTCTCAAGCTCAAGGTCAATCGGCGATCTGTTGTCGGCCTTGGGAAATGGGAGAGATAATCGTATATAAAAAAGTATGTGAAGATATTAGATACAATATATCAAAAAGTCAAAAATGCCCACATATTACTGAATATTATAAATTTATAATATAATTTATATAATTTCTATAACCCATTTATTAAGTTAACTTTATGGAGAATATATCTATAATGCAATCCCTGAACCTTTAATTTCCCACTTGTGAGCTGCATAAGTTTGTGAATGACAGGCAGACAGCTATTTGATGGGATAGTCGCATATATCTTTCCCAACCCATAAACGTGCCCGCCTTAAAAGGCAAATTAAGCATCCTCTGAATTGCGCATTTAATTGAAATTTAGTTTTGCAATGTGGCAAATTGTTTTGTTTTGGCTTCGTTTCTTGATTTGCTGGCTGCCAAAGTTTTTCGCGCTCAATGTTGGGAAATCAGCTGAGGAATGTCTCTTTCAGTTTTCTGTTTTTTCATAATTATCTGGGGAATTTTGTTTACATTTTCCTCCGTTTTTCGGGGGATTGGGGGCATTCCACGTTGGTTCGTTGACTGTTTAATCAATAACAAAAAAAGTTACTGCAGAACACTACTGGCTTGCATGTCAATGCGATTTGCATTTGTCGAGTGCCCAAAACTATGCAGATTATGCAGATATACAGATAACTATGTATCTATACTTTGTATATGTGTCACACTTATATGTATAGATTTATCAATGCCATTGGCCAGACGAAAAAAAGAAGGAAAGCTTGTAAATTTCCTTTTGGTCGAAAATTAATTGTTGCTCTTGATTTTGCTTTGCTTTAATTTCCAACATTTTCAGCCGAGCATTTTCACACTTGAAAAATGATTTTAGGAAAATTGTTGTTCGCCTTTTTTTTCCTCGCTCTCGTGTTTCTATTTCTGGGAATTCCTCTGCCCAAGGCCAAGCAAGTAAATCGCGAATGAATTACAAAAAGTTTTAATAAATATATCGATGGAAAATGTCCGCCGATGCTTGTATACTGTGTTCCATTAAAAAAGATAGTAAACAGTTGATGTATGCCAAAAAGTATTGGGGAATTTTTGATTTTTAATTACTAAAAAGTTTTTTCATTCAATAAAAAAGTGTATATATAGTGTTTATATTTTAAAACCATCTACTTATCCTAACTTTCTGTAGGTTTTTATTTTGTACTTTGGAAGTGAGGATTTGTAGTGAAAGAAGAAAAAAATATTTTATTTAAAATATTTAATTCTGAGTAATAGTAAACGCAACGTTATATATAAAAGAGTTTAAATTACTTTTGGCTTTTTTTTTTTGGTATTAAAATTATTGGAGATTGGTTCCGATCAAATGTTTAACTTAAATTGTACTATTCTGAAAACCTCGACAGTGGTAAAGCTTATATTCAAACAACCTTCTTGTCCTAAATGGTTTTTATTTTATTTCTTGTTTTAAATATTACGATCTATTACAGAAATGTCATATGTATAAACAAATACTAGATTCCATATCCCTTCCTAGAAATCATGATTTATGGAAATATGAAAAATAACATCGAAAACACCTGATTGTAAAGCCTAAAGAGTGGTTTTATAACTAAGCCAACCCCACTTAATAATAGTAAAAGGCGAGCTCGCAAGGCTGACCGCATAATATCCTTTCGCGTCCTTCCTTAGTGGGCTTAGTTTATTTAGCTGATTGCATTGTCTAGCCTCATTCCCCTCCCCCGCCTCCATGAAACTTTCCATCATGCCCCACATTGTTGCACTGTGGCATTGTTTTTCCATTTTCCATTTAGTTTGCTGCACTTCCTGCAGATATCGAAGGCAAACGAGAACTGTGTCAGCCCAGGGGTCAAGCAGGGGCCCAACTGTTGCCACCTGCAAGCCGCAACATGTGGAGCGGATGTGGGTCAAATGAAAGCCGTGGCTGTGCATGTGGCTGACCTGACCCACCCAGCGGTGCCAAAGGACATCAATCGCAATCGAACGAGATTATGACGTCCTTAAAGTGGCTGCAGTGTGTGGGAGCCCCCGTTATGAACTAGTTTATTTTGCCCAGGGGTAACAGAAATTAAAACGAGATTGATACAGTCTTTGGAAAAGAGTTCGATACACGGGAAAATATTTTTTAAAAAATTCTGCACTTTAAAATATTGTTGTTTTTCAACCCGAAATAGGTTTTGCGAGTTTTTAAATCATTAAAAAATGAAATTGATAAATTTAAATTATATTTGTAGCTAATTAAAGATATTTAGTAACTGACTGATTTAATTTAGTAAGGCCAGAGGCAACATAAATTATTTTAATATCTGCATTACGAAAATGTTGTAAGGATTTTTTTCTAGATTGCCATGACTTTTAGTTAGTCAAAAATCAAACAAGTGTCATAAGGCCTTGGTCTATTAGATGCATTTTACTTACATTTATTAATCATTCAAAGCAAACCAATTGAAACTGGTAGAAATGATTTAAGTGGCCCTCTCCCGGTTTCCTCCTCATATAGAACACACACCTCTCAGGTATTTTGGCCCCTTCGCTGTCGACTGCTTTCAATGCGGCTATAATAAGATACGAACGCTTTCAAAGTTGCCAATAGATTCACTCACACGAATCGCTCAGACATCGGGGGCGGGGGAACATCGGAATGGGAATGGAAATGCCATATAGATGCCACGACTATATATCTGTATATGCTGGCGATTAGACGGGCCACCGTTCCAACAACACTCAATCATGCCAGTGTTTTCCACTCGCTTTTCGATTTTGTTTCCATTTGGCTTGCATTTTTTTCGTGCTTTGTTTCGTATCTGGTATTTGGTGTATTTTCCCCCTTTGGATTTGTCGTGTCCAGCTAATTGTCTTGTCATGCGGGCCTCACTCATCTTTATATATATATCTATATATGCATCTATCGTATATATTGGGGGGATCTGGTCGGGGGCGTGGGATGAGTCACAGACAAGAAACTCGTAGCTGGGTTCCACTTGCTCCAATATATCTACGTGTTTTCTCTTTACACATTTCTTGTTCGTTTGTTTTTCACTCTATATCATCGGTGAGTAATTTTTTTTCTTTCTATCAAGTATTTTTAGATGCAAATCAGTGGGCGGGGAGTGGGCGGCTGGGAGTGGGTGGGCGGTGGCGTATTTTTCTTGGCAAGGGGGACAAGGTCAAGGCGCGCAGCTTCGCACTCACCTGAGCAAAAGCTTTCCCTCTATTTCCGTTTCCACCTAATATAGCCCAGGTTTCTCTCTTTTACCAGATATTTTCCGTATTGCATTACCCTTAGCAAAAATATCTATTACTAAAGGTCATTAATTGATTTGCCAAAGGGGATCTTAACGAGCTAGTTATTTTATATATTTAATACTCTATTTACCCTATTACACAATTATTTATAATCATTTTTTTCAGCTTCTCACAGACAGATACAGCAGCAGCATCGGTGATAGATATAGTCCCCACTATTATCAGGTTTGTCCTGTTGCCAGATAAAATAAAGCTTTGCATGAGGTTTTCTAAATGTGGATACCATGTATCTGTTTTTAAATTGTGCTGTCTTGAGTGCTTCCAAAGTTAGAGTTCCCGTATTTCCCAACTAACCAATGTTGAAAACTAATTTCGCGCACACTATAACACTCGTATCTGGCGGATATATGGGCCACGGCGAAAATAATGCTATACATAACCGCCACAGTTTGTGCGCTTTTCATCAACAGATTTAGAACAATTAACCCACACACACCTTGCGCCGACCAGAATCTCAGAAGCTATATATAAAAGACGTGTTCGCCGAGAGCTATATGCCATAGATCAGTCACAATAGATCAAGCCAAATGTTGGGCAAAATGTGAAAGAACTCTAGCGACAGATGCTTAAAATGATATATATATTTAATTTTTTTCTCTCGATACCGCCGTCGTTTCGCTCATTTTCATTTTCAGGGTCGCATGCCGCGACAAAAAGCAAAAGTTTCCGAAACGTGAACACCTATCCACCGTCCCCTTGTCCTCGAGATTATAATATTATGACAAGTCAGACAGTCGATAGCCAACAAAATGGTATCAAAAAGGGAAAACAAAATATAAGATACAAAGCAACACAAAAGGCAAGACAAAGTTTTCACTTTCTGTCCCTGAAATTGTCAGACAACGAACTGAAAATATATACATATAAGGCGGAACCCCCTGGGGCGACCTCCCCTTATCCGTCTGATTTGTCATCTTTTGTAACCAAATTGCGACCTTCGCCTTTGCCATAAATCTGCAAGGCTAGGCATTTTAGTTCCTGTTTTTTTTTTTTTTTTTGGCAATTGGCGCTAGGACTGTGATGTCATATGAAGTAGGGGGGACTCCTTAGAAGGCTGCCAAAAATTTCCACAAAATCTAATTACCGAAGGACTTTTAAGTAATGGTAAATCGATTTTCCAAATACCTATTTCCAGAGTTCTCTTTTAATGAAAAGCTGTAATGACACCTTAAATACAGTGATTGGCCTCAGGATATTTAAAAGCACTTTGTATGATCCTTAGAGCAAAGCTGCAAATTACACGATCTTTACTTTTTTTAAACTTTGATATTATTTCAAAAATTAGTGTTTAGTTTTCAAAAATTGGAAAGCTCTGTATAAAAAATGCTCCCACGGGAACGACCTACCATGGTATCTATTCACATTATTGGATAACTAAAATTGTGTGTAAATTTTGCTGTTAATATGAAGTGGATCCGGGCACTTTCATTCTGGGTGATGAAATTGGATAGGTCTTCGAATCAGAGCTGTGAGTTCCCAGGACTGGAATAGTTTTCAGGTGCCTAAGAGCTTTGTCAACCGAGAGCTTACTACTAACACCTGGTTAGCCTGTGAATTGTTTGGTTTGTGTGTAAACATGTCGCTGTTGTCTAGAATACTTGGGTTCCACTTACTGATCTTTGTGTATAATTTGGACCCCATTGCAGTCGCCCAGCCGCATGGAGACCTCCGAACAGACCACTGGCCGTCAGCTGCAGCGAGTCCTGCACTACTCGATGGCTCCTAGCCGGGCACTCCCAGGACTCCGGCGCGCCGAGTGCGCCATCCACGACGTAGACTGTGATGAGGTCTATCCGGGCATCTACATTGGCGATGCGTAAGTGCTCTAACCATCCCCAAGGAAAATAACCTTTCAACAGTGATACACCCCCTATTCCAGTGCGGCGGCCAAAAACAAAACCTATCTGAGAATGATGGGCATCACCCATGTCCTGAACGCGGCCGAGGGATGTCGCTATGGTCAGGTGGACACCGGACACAGTTACTACCGGGATATGCCCAGCATCAGGTGAGTCCCATGCTCCGATCTATAATCCTCCAATCCCAATTGCTGGACCGACAAGAGGCAACAACATGAACAATCGAAAGGAATGCAAATTCTCGAAACCTTTCGCTCAAAATTTGTTCATATTTTGTTTTGACTCGCACACAGTTTGAATTTTAATTTTGCACCTACACTATTTATGTCACACATTTCGAAATTTCTTTGAAAAAATATTCCTATTTTTCTTTCTCTTTTTTTATCTTTCCTACGCACTCGTAAATACCATTTTTGTACCATTATTTTATTGCACATTACCATTATATTGCAATCAAAAACATCATCTCATCTCGATTTTGGCTCAACTTTGTTGTTGCTGTTTGTTGTGTACTGTGTGTGTTTGTTTGTGCGATAGACGCAACCATAAGGATTGTGTTTTTAGGTACATGGGCTTCCCCATGGTCGATGCCCCAACGACGGACATCTCACGATACTTCTACGTGGCCTCCAAGTTCATCGACAGCGCCATCAGCAGTGGCGGTAAGTGGTGTGGTAATGGGTCCGGAGTAAGCAGCGTTAATAAAAATTTAGAAAAATTTTCGATTCGGTTACCCAGAACCAAAAAATTCCACTGTCTCTCAGTACTTAACAAAGTTATAATGCTTAAAAATATGTTTTTAGTGACCCCAACTTATTTTAAATCTAAATTAACTTATTAACTGGTGGTGTTCTTAATGAGCTGAACGTTATAATGCATAGAAAGATGCCTTTGGTGGCCCCAAAATCAATACTTCCTTGCTTTAAGGTGAACCAGACCTTCATTTTTAAGTTCTTTGAATGGTAATGTCTCTAAAGATTACACCGCAGTAATCATTGAATTCACAGGCTCAAGCCAAAATCAATTTATGAGCTGCGGAAATAATCTCTCTAAGTTAAAGTTCAGACTTCAAGAATTTATTGACATTTAATTATATGCGAGCTTGTTCTGGATCGTTTAAGCCAGCGGTCGGCATGCAATACCGCTGTTGTACACTGTTTGTGTGGCGGCACGGAGCGACGAGAGCTATGCCCGCTTAATAGAAAGCTGCCGACCGCTGGATTACTCTAGTGACAACCCTTAGAAGAACTCCCTACTAATCAGTTTTCTTTTCTAACAGGCAAGATCCTGGTCCACTGCCTGGTGGGCATGTCCCGATCGGCCACCTGTGTGCTGGCCTACCTGATGATCTGCCGGAAGATGTCGGCGGTGGACGCGATACGCACGGTGCGGATGAGGCGCGATATCCGGCCCAACGATGGATTCCTGCAGCAATTGGCCGATCTGGATATGGAGCTCAAGCGCAAGAACCTGTATCCCTATTAGTGGGACTTACTGGGCAATTGACGGGGAGCCTGAGATACAACCAAAGATCCAAGAGAGGAACGGGGGGAATGCGGCGCGGTTCTTGAGAGGATCCGGCAACTAAACCAAAATAAGAATATTATTATGAAATGCAAAATGAAATCGTTGTTCTGAAAAATTGAAGCCTACAAAGCTAACGACTTATAATGGTAACTTGGTCTTCTGATATATAAACTGTTCATCCCCAAAACTGTATAATCGCGGCATACCCATATTGTAGGACTAATAAACACATATATATATACAACCGGCCAGAAGGGAATCAAGTTATCTCCACTCTCACGAAAAAGAAAAACACTCACCCGATGACACACACTTAGAGACCTAGATTGGTAGAGCCACGATCGAAGCAATACGAGGCGATCGACCTATATACCTTGCCTATACCTAGAAATACAGATTTATATACATGTATTCCGGACCCACATCCATCCGTATTTTTTCTAAGGCTCATCTGTGTTAACGTTCTGTTCCATCTCCATCACCACCCCCATTTCCATTTCCATACCAATCCCCATCTGCAAAAGCAATCCCGACTCTTCCATCCTCAACAAATGTCTACATATATAGGAAGAAAGAGCTGAAACTAGATCATGAACAATGTTTGCGGACACAAACGTAACCAGATGCATATATACTGATATATAACTGTGTAACGGATATACAAGCATGCGTTATATACACCTATACCATATATACTATATACACCAAGTGTGGACAATGTAATAAAACCAAATTCATATTTTCTAGAAAATGTACGATGTTTAAGAGCAGACGAAACAAATAACTAAACCAAATCAAATGAGCAGAACAAGTAACTAAAAACTAAAACTATACTTAAGAAGTGATTAATAATAAAAAACAAAACAAAACTAAAACAAAATCATTTGCAAATTTGTGAAATACATTTGGCTTGCAAGCGTTGGCTGTTTTCATGTGCTGTGGATTTTAGTGAACCATTTAAGGTAGATATGTTTTTTACTTTTGGTGGGAAATTCTTTTGGTGTACAATATTCAATCATCAGAATTTTAATCTAATCTAAAAAATGATGGCACTCAGAACTTTATCTCAAAGCAATCAAAAATCCTGAAAATGTATTTGGCATTCAATTTTTGTAGATTAAAATTAATGAATTGGAAAAAACCAACCGCAATATGATGGTACAAAATATAACCGTATAGTAATTTACAATAATACCATTGTATTTGATCTAGCTTATGTTTACAATAGAATAGAGTATTGTTTGTAAACTTGTTGAGAGTATGGAAATGGATCGTATTACTCAAAACGTTCCAGTTCTTAAATCACTTCGAACTCTCTCGGCGAAGTGTGAAGGAAATTGAATTCGATTTCCCTCAGTTCCCACCCATTCTCCACCGATCTATCTATCCGATGGTGTTGTGGGGTCTCGGGCATTAGTTGCGCCTGCTAAATGCCTGGAAACACCTGCAGAGGCATCTTCTTATCGAGGCTCTGGGCTCACCAGGCTCACCTCTGTGCGTAATTAAAACAGATGATATTGGCTACCTGGAACTGGACTATGGCTGCTGCTGCTGCTAACCGCATAGTTGACCCTAATTTGGAACTATCAATAACCGAAGAGAACTGACCCAAAACAGTGGAGAATCCATCCAATGAAGGCCAACAACAAGAGCCGCGAAGATTTCGATCGTGCGCACAGTCAAAACAATAAAATTAATGTCTCCGCTCGGGTTCACGGGGTTCACGGCTAGGCCGGGATCAGCGGGTGCCACTTAAGTGATCCCAAAATGGGATTCCTCTAAACCCTAAACAGGTAGCAGTTGTTAAAAGTCGTTGAACAACAAAAGGAACAACACCGTTTTCAAGGTATACCTTGATCACTTCTGCCAGCCATAAGACTCCAAAACCGACGGTTTAGAGTGCACAAATTGCTCTTAGATGCATACTAGTCTGAAGGAACTCGACTTTGGCTGATACGATATCGAAGAAAAGTGGTATGCAGGGTGCTAATACATTAAAATGTGTTATAAATAGTAAATCAAAGCACTGTGTGTGGTAGTCACTAAGGTAAGGAAAGTATATTCCCTGTTCGTGGTGGGGCTACCTATGTATGTTTTTGATCAGGTCAAATGGCAAAAGAGACGATGTCCAGCGGCGTTGTTGGTATTTTTCGACTCACTTTTTTGGGGATTGGAAATGGCTAAACTAGTTTCTTGGTTTCCCAGGTCCCGAACTAAGCTGCTGAAAATCATTTTTCAAAGCCCACACTTAAGACCCGCACTTCGTGGAACAGCTGCCCCCCTGAACCGGCGATATAGCCCATATCCGCATCCCTTGGCTCCAGAGGGTGACACATGCTTGGGGACTGGGTAAATAGATGAGGACTCTATATGTGTATATGCGCATGAAACAATTATTATTATTAATAAGTTAGTTTTGCTCCACGTGCCACCACCACCCCTCCTGTTCTATCCTGTTCTATCGTTCCTAGGAATTACGTTATAAGATTAAGCATGAAAAATGTTACGAATTTTCCTCTCTCATAATTAATCTTCATCTGGCGCTATGTTTGCCCCTCCATGTGTGGAATGGTAGTAAGGTGGTGTGGTGGGGAGAAGTGCGAAGGATTTCACATGCAAAAGAGTTAAATAATTATAAGTACACACACTACTCACGGGGAGTGAGGGTGGCAACCCTTTGCTACACAGAACAAAATAAATATTTATTTATATTTAACACTACTCTTTTATCTATCTAATAATTAAATATTTTTGGTAGTAATAAGCAGAATAAATATTTATATTTAAGACTACCTTTTAAAAGTGCTTTAACTGCTTCAAATGTAGGGGTTTTTTATAGTTATTGTCGAAATAGATTTTTATATTTATATATCTTTAACACTACCATTTGATATTAGATATTTAAATTACCCACGGTGTCTTAAGGTCCTCTAAATATAATGTTTAAAAATAATGTAAATATTTTTAATTTATGGTATGATATGGTTACCAAACTTGTATTTAAAATAACGTATTAAGCAGCCACAATTGAGAGATATTGAGATATACTGCACAAACTTGTTGGTATTCCTTTTTTCCAGTGTATTTGTTCCTCTGTTTCCCTTCGAATTGTCCTTTTAAGCTCTACAAATAGTTGATGGCCCAGCAGCTGTGTCCTAGCGAATCAGGAGGAGATAGATTGCGATGGTGAGTCCAGGTTTCCGTTGGCACAGGGGGAATTACCTTGTTACGGGTTTGTTTGAGCACCTGTAATTGTTTACGAAACCAGCATGTTATGTTATTTATATCTTTACATGCGCAGCATCCTTTAGGTTTTATTTGGGTGTGTTATTTTAAAGTGCTGATTGTTGATCATATTAATAGAGCCAATTAAATGGTCCGGTTTCATTATTAAAAAAAGTATATTATATATATTTTACCGGAAAATCCCAAATAATCAGATCAAATGGAATCATAATGGAAGATTTAATCCTTTACTTTGGCTTTTGCAACCTTTTTGTTCGTATATTTTATTAATATCCCCAGCATTTATTCACACCCAATGCTGAAATGTTCAATTGAAAATGTTTAATTAAATTTACACACAGAATAATAAAAGTTAAGGAAATTCCAATTCATTTTTACACTCCAGCGCTTTGTAAAGCGTTATTATTTTTTTGTTCTGTTCTTTTTTTCGGAATTATTAATGAGCTCAGGAGCTTTGGGAGTCCCAGCAATTTGGATGGGCTTACCGCACCACACAAACTCACGCAACTTAAGCAAATATTAAATGCATTTTCGGTTTTCAACGAAACGGGCAATTCCAAAAGGGAAAAGGCCAGATGGAAGTGCAGAGATGGGAAATTTGTGGCTGCTCGACGGAGTGAAAAACAATAAATAATGCAGCCAATTAAAACTTTGGCTGTTTGGCTTCAAATTCAACACCAACAGCAATAACAATGCGTTTGGGCAGCAACAAATGAACAAAGAAACATACAAACAAATAACAACAAATGCAATAACAACTAATTGACAAACAACAGAAAATTGAATGCAATAAAGCACATGGCATGTGGGTTAACTTGTATATGTGTTATGTGTCGATAAATACACCTTAAAAATATTTTGTCAGAATTTAGAATTGTTGAGTTAATTTTTTGGATAAAGTTGAAAAACCAACTACTCCTAAGCAACTTTGTATTATATAGGAAAATGCGTTTTCAAAACTATAAGATTTTGTTCTAAAATTTCTAAAATTCAGGGTGAATATTTTTTTGGGTGTATAGACATACAGGAGTTTGTCAGGATATATGCAATGTTATATGGTCATCTATCTGTTCGGTGTGATGTGATGGACAGACAACAATCAATAAAAAAAGGGAAGAATAAACGGAGTGGTAGAAATTAGTCGACTGTGGGATACCTATAAGAAACTATTAACTTAACGGATTATAAAATTATTTAATTGCCGGTATTATAAATGATAAAAAAGGATTTCATATTTTGTATATTAGTATCCAATCCATTTTTCTCGATTTCTATTTAAACCAAGTGAAAACAATTTAGTTTCAGGAATTTATTTCAAAAAGCTCTCATACTTCTCCACTAATTTATAGTCTCTCTTTTTTCGAAAGGGTATCGAAAAAAAAGGAATGAAAACCAGAAAAATCAATGCAATTTGACAGGAACACGGCGATGCAGCAGCATCATCTGACCGAGAAAAGAAATAAAACCAGCTACATGCGTCCAGCCCCTCGGCTACTCGAAATTATTATTATAAACTTCTTCACTTTTAATGGAATTGTTATCAAAACACATTAAAAACGACAGACAAGCAGAATGAGTGAGTGAGTGCCGGGTGAAGGGGGCGGGGACGGGGCAAAGGGGGAGGGGGCAGAGGGCGTTGGTGCGGCAAGGGGGCGGGGCAAGAGGCAGTGGAAGCTGGGCGGCCGGACACGCAACCCGAACGCATCGCAACGAGAACCAATCAAATGCACTTTGTCAATGCCAATTCACACAATAAATCTACAGCCAGATAGCAAAGTGCCAGACAAGGCCGAGGGGCGGGGAGGGGCACGGGTTCCAGGGGGTCTCCAGATATGCACAGAGAAAAAAAACCCAACTCTAGATTGTGTCTGATCATTCTTGCAACATATAAATAACACTCCTAATACGTCACGAATATTTAAGGAGATTTTTTCCAAGAACATCCAAAGCTTCTTCAGTTTTCTGACCCCGACTTGTTATTATTATGTTAACTAAGAAGTCTTGAATATCTCTGATGTATAAAACAAGTATTCCTCTCCTTAAAAATTTTATCTGATCACTCTCGGAACATTTTGAGTAACTCTTCTCATATGTCAGGAATATTTAAAGGGATTGTTTATAAAATCCTTTTTTTGAGTTTGGTGACTGATCTGTAAAAAGTATCCTTATCCTTATAAATGAATATGATAGTTTAGGTTTCTCTAGTGACCCCGACCATAATAATCTCTAAGTATACAATTTTGAAATTCCCTGTTCTTTTTATAAATTTGATCATATTAATGGGATTAATTTGATCAGATTTCTAAAATAAATATTCTTATCGTGTTATACAGCAAATATTCTCAAGACCCCGGATCTAAATGTTCAATTTATTTTAGCTGGTGACCCCGATTATACTAATATTTATGTACCAAATGCTGGTACAGTAACTTGGAATAAAAAAGCTGATTACCAAGTATAAGGCAAGAAAAAAATCGACGTTGGTTGGTTTTTTAGCTTGAAAGATATTTAGATTATATTATGAAATATTTTTCTGAGTGTAGTGTAAGGGGATGGGTGATGGTTTGACAGAGAGAAGAGCAACAAAAAAACGAAACAAGAGAAACGATTTGGTGGAGAAAAATAAAAAAGATC